AATTCTCTGCAAGGATCGGATATTCAATAGGTAATTGAGGATAATTTGGAGGAGGAGGATAAGTCATGATTACTGGAAGATCATTAAGAGAAAGACAATCTTCAGAAGTTGAAGAATTTGTAGGGGAAGGAGAAGGAGAAGGAGCCCAACAATCATAACCGATGCATGAAGAATTAGTGGAGCTAGATTCGTCTAAATCGGGTAATTCGTCTGAATCAGATGTCTCGTCATGAGCAGATATCTCGGCTCTATCCTGACTTTCAGTTAAATTGAGTGTTTCAATTCGTTTCTCAATGTTGACAAGTGTATCAGTGGTAGCAGGTGTCTCGATGGGAACAGATATTTCAGTAGAAGCGGTTGCATTAATCTGATCGGGTGTTTTTGCAGGACCGACAGGAAAAGAATCGGTAGAATCCGAAGAAGAATCAGAATCATTAGAGGAGTCAGAGTAGTCCTCTAATTTTATTAGTTCGAGAATTGGCGGTAATTTATGCATTTTCCGCAAATTGGTCAATTTTTATTCTAAAACAAATAAATTATAAAAAAAATTATTAGCAAATATAGGGTTTTAGGTCTTGAATATGTAATTTGAAATTTTTAGTTTCATCGAAATTGGAGATTAGGTAAACAGTAGGAGATAGGACTCTTAAGACTTTATATGGACCAATATATTTAGGATTTAGTTTGGCTGAGACATGTTTTAGTTTTGAAGATAATTCACGATTACGAGTAAGAACCAAATAACCAATTTTATATTTAAATTCACGTCTCTTATTATCGAAATATTTTGATTGTTTAGCGAAAGATTCATCTAAATTTTTAATTATCCAATCCTTTAAATTTTCGATCTTTTTCATTCTATTTTCCCACAATTCTATTGAAGATTCCTCTACATTTAAATCAATATTTCCCTTTGATTTGTTTAGACAATTTATAGGTTTGGGGTCTCGACCGAAATTGAGGAAAGCAGGACTAGTTTTCAAGGACGAGTGATGAGAACTATTGTAAGCGAATCTAAAGTCTGATAGATGTTCATCCCATAATCTGTGGTCTTTTCCTATATATGAAACAACCATAGTTTTGAAAATTCTATTTACGCGTTCCACAGGGTTGGATTGAGGATGATACGGAGGTGATGTAGTATGAACAATTCCGAACTCCTTTGTTAAAGATTCCATAATATTATTGATAAATTCGGTTCCGTTATCCGTATGAAGAACTTGAGGAGTTTCCCATCTATTAATAATAAGTTCTTGGAAGGATTCTTTAACCTTTCTACCATTAGCTACGCGAAGTGGAATACATTCTACCCATTTTGTAAATAAATCCTGAAAAATTAATATATAAAGATACCCAGATTTACTACGAGGAAAAGGGCCCATAACATCCGCAGCTACTACAACCCATGGTTCATCAATCACCCTATGACCCATAAGTCCAGGTGGAGCTTTTTGATCAACCTTACACATTTGACATATTTCACACCTTTTTATATAATTCTGTACATCTTGAAAACATCCAGGCCAATAATAATATAGAGATATCCTTTTAAATGTTTTCTCGACACCTAAATGACCAGACTGTACAGAATCATGACATTCGACAAAGATAGAATTTCGCTCATCATCATTTGGAACTAACTTCCAAGCGTTCAAATCACTTACTAAGGCTGATATAATTTGATTAGGTTTATAATGATATAACTTTTCATTTATGATAATCCAATTTGGATATCTTTCCGGATAATTTTTAACAGAAATAAAGCGACGAATATACCATGAATCGTTCGGATTCTTGACTAAATTTATTCTCTCTTTAGGGACTTCATAAATTCTAGAAAGAGCATCGGGTACACAATGAAATTTACCTTTCCTATGAATTATTTCGAAATCATATTCCATTAACGACAAAGACCAACGAGCCAATCTTCCGGTGGGATTCTTGAGATTCTGTAACCATTTTAGGCTAGCATGATCCGTAACCACCGTAAAGTGATAACCTTCGAAATATTCCCTATACTTTTTAACCGCCCAAATTATTGCCAAACATTCCAATTCTGTAGTAGTATAATTCTTTTCAGCATTTAGAAGAGAACGACTACCATATGCAATTACTTTTTTTTTATCATCAATCCTTTGTATGAGAACAGCACCTAAGCCTGAAGTACTGGCATCCGTATGCACTTCGAAAGGATAATCAAAATTCGGACACGATATAATTGGTGCATTAACCAAACAATCTCTAATCTTAATAAAAGCTAAATTTTGAGAATCCGACCAAATCCATTTTTGATATTTCTTAGGCAATCAATTTAAAGGGGCTGCAATAACAGAAAAATTTGGAATAAATCTCCTATACCAGGAAGCCATGCCAAGAAATCTCCTGATTTCCTTAACATTGCTCGGAGTAGGGTATTCTAGAATTGAAGAAATCTTATCAGGATCGACACTAAGACCATTTTCATTGACAATATAACCAAGATATTTAACTTGAGAACAACAAAATTCACATTTGCTTGCATTTAATCTCAAATTAGCCTTTTTAATTTCTTTCAATACTATTCCTAACCAAACTAAGTGATCCTCGAAAGTTTCAGAAATTATAATTACTTCATCCATGTATACAAAAGCGTGAGGTTCCATTTCCGGTCGAATTAAGGTTTCCATCATCCGTTGGAATGTTGCAGGCGCATTTGTTAAGCCAAACCGCATTCTCTTAAATTGGAAATGTCCTTTTCCAGGAACTGAAAAAGCAGTCTTTTCCCTACTACATATTTCGAGAGGAACATTCAAGAAACCTTTATGAATATCAATTTTGGATATAAATTTAGCCTTATTTAACTTGTCGAGAATCATATTTATTTTTGGAAGAGGATAAGCATCCTTTTTGGTGATAGCATTTAATTTTCTTAAATCCAAACAAAAGCGATAAGTTCCGTCGGGCTTCTTAATCATAACAATGGGACTGGACCATCCACTATTCGAGAGCTCTATGATATCATCTAATAACATTTGATCTATTTCTACAAACATAAGTTGTAATACTTTAGGTGAAACTGAATAGAATCGCTGTTTAATTGGCGGATGACCATCTACATTTATGTAATGTTCTGTAAGATTAGTTAAGCCGGGTTTTTCTTCACAATGAGGAACTTCGTCTTTAATAAATTGTTCAAGAATTTTGACTTGTTGAGGTGTTAATTCACTTAAACCACAACACACCTCAGGTTTTGAATTTTTAAGAATGAAATCAAATGTCTTAAAAGGATTTGAATTATACATCCATTTTCTATTTTCATAATTTATCGAGACTCCAAATACTTTAAGAAAATCTAAACCAATAACAAAATCTACAGGTAAGGAATTGAGAACTCTAACTTTCATTAATCTGGCCTTTACTCCAAGTTCCATTGGAATAACTATTTCTTCAGAAACAGTTTGAACTGAACTATCCGCGATCTGTACTAATCCAAAACTTTCTTCCACTTTTAGTCCCAATTTACTAGCCAATTCAAGTCCCTTTTTTCCTATGAACGATCTAGTAGCACCACTGTCCACTAATGCTTTCACTTTATTCCCAAGGATATGAATATTAACATACATTAAGGGTTTTGAACCATACATACATTCTGGAACATACGAGACATCAGAAACATTGAAAAGATTAGATTTATCGATTTTTTTATTTTCCGTACTTTTACTTTCATCAAATTTAATATCATCGTCAAGAAGAGTTTTCGATTGAGAATCCACATCAGTATTAATTTCTAATTTAGTTTGATTTGATAATTCAGATTTCTCGGAAAAATCAATTAAATCATTTTCATTTTCAGAGGAAGAATTTACGAAAGAATTGTAATTCTCGTTTTCTGATTTAATTCTAATAAAGTCACAATCTATAATTTTATCTAATTCATTTTCATTTAAGAAATATCTTCCATTTTCACAGAAAATTGTAAAATCAAAATCTGTAGGCATATATGCTCCATTAAATTCAGACAAATCGGAGGACGAATCTAAATACAAAATTTCGATTAATTTGAGAGCTTCTAATTTTCGACATTTATTTCGCTTTTTAATTACAGGAAACTTATCAATTAAGGGCTTTACAACATTATTTAGAGACGTATTCGCCCTATCAGACGACTCTATTTCTAGTTTTCCATACACTTAGGACATTCAGTGCGAATTACATCTTTTCTTCCACAACGAAAGCAAAACTTTCCCCTAGGCTTACTGCATTCATCAAATCTATGACCGGGCTTATCGCAATTCCAACAAATTAGTTTTCGAGATTGCTTTTTCTCTTTGACATTAACGAAAGGATTGTTTGACGATTGAACTTTTTCAGAAGTTTTCGGATTATTTTGATTATTAGATTTATCATTTTTCGAGTGTGACTGAGAATTTTGAAGATTTTTCGACACATTATTTTCTTTAATAGAAAGAACAAAATCTACCAATTCTCTAGTTCTCTAGTATAGTTCTCTATACGCAAGATCAGGTAATAGAGATCTTTGAGGCAATGGTAGAAGTTTATACGATTTACTGACGAAATGACTTTTCTCGATTGAAATAGCCATTTGTTCGAATTGAGCGATGTTAGCAATAGAATGTCTCGGGATGACTAATTGAAATCTAGGCAGAAGGTTTCTATGAATAAAACTAATTTCTTCATTTTCCGATAAACGTGGTTCGACGCGATCGAAATAAGATATCATACATGTAAAGAAATCAGCAACACGTTCAAATTCACCTTGAGTCCTCTTATAGATTTCTTGACGCAATTCAAACTGAAAATCTATATCCCCAAAACGTGATCTAAATGCTCTCGAGAAAAAAACTAGCAAAATTCCTCCAATTATTTCGCATTCCATAAAACCATTTGGAAGCTATTCCCGTGAGAAGAAAAGGTATTACTTTAATTAAAGTATTATCATCTACGCGGAAAATATCTCTTCCATCTTCTATTTTTGTGATAAATGCTTCTGGATCTTCTGATCAAGAGCCCGAAAATTTCAATCCCCATTTTTGCATGATCTCGAGTGTTTTAGCGGCTGAATTATGATAACCTCTATAAATGTTTGAGAAACTTTGATTACGAGAATTGTACTCATAATTCAAATCAGAATCACTATTGCTGTCAAAAGAATTTCGTAATTTTTGTCTCGGTTCATAATATTTATTGCGAGGAATATTATACTTTGAATCTTTTTGAAATCTATCTGTCCTATCATTATAAAATCTAGAATCATTATATCTAGAATCATAAAAAATAGAATCATCATATTTTGAATTATCGAATCTTCGATCGTCATACCTAGAATTGTCAAATCTTGAATCATAACGAGATTCATTAACAAATCTTTCTCTATATCGAGAATCATTCCTATCCCGATAATTATTTCTTTCCTGAAAATTACTTTTCTCTGTAAATTCGTTTCTATCCTGATAATTACTTTTCTCTCTAAATTCGTTTCTATCCTGATAATCATTTTTCTCTAAAGAATTGTTTCTATTCTGATAATCATTTTTCTCTAAAGAATCGTTTGATTTAGAATTTGTCCTGTCGCGATTTTCCTGATGTTGATTAAAATCAGAATTGTTTTTGGGAGCATTATTTTCAGATGTAGAAATTAAATTATTCCCTACAATGTCTTGTCTAGATTGAAGAGGTTCTGAAATTTCATCTGAAGGACGAAATGTTACCCTACGTCTATTTTCATTTTCAATAAAATAATTTCTAGAAACCGAATTTCCAACATTATTTGGAGTTAGATTTGGTGGAACTAAATTCTCATAATTTCTATTTCCAAAATGACTCGAATGAAAAGGATCATCTCTAGGGTAGAAAATTTCAGATCTATAATTTACATCCTCACGAACAATTAATCTTTGAGGATTCCTATTTTGATTGATGTTAGTCGGGGAACGAATTTCATTCGAATCTTCATTTAATGAAATCAATTGAGAAGAATTTTCGTTATTTTCTAACCTATTAATGTCAGAATTATTTGGTCGTTCGGAATTCGAAAAATTTCCCCAAGAATCAAGAGTCCTAACACTTTCTATATCATGTCTATCATGATTTTCTGTCTGATCTAAATTTTGTCCTAAATTTGAAGGTGCTAAATCTTGTTGTTGCAAAAACTTCAAAAGACGATTTCGTTTTGCAGTGATGGCTCCGACAGCAGTCAAGCCTCTATCTCTCAACTCATCGCCAAGTTGATAGTTGTTTAAATCATAGATCCACGCATAAGGATCGTTTGAAGCCATTGTTAAATAAATTTAACAAATCTCAGCCAAATAAAATCCCAATGGTAATATAAATAAATTTCCCTAAAACAAATTTACTTTAGAAAATATATCGAGATTTCTAAAATAATAAAAATTTTGTTTCAAAAGAAGGAACAATAAGGAGAAGGACAAATAATCAGTTTAAAAAAAAATATTCGAATTGTCAAATTAATATAATCAATTAATTAATTATATTATCAATTCAATTTAGCTCTTTGAATAATATTAATTTATTATTCAAATAAATTTTTATTTATGAAGTCATTTCTTAAAATTCAAATTTTAATTCCTTGAGCTGTCAAAATAAACAAAGAATTACATAACCTCAATTTCACAAAATTAAAGTCTTTTCTTTTTGAATGAAATATTTTATTAATATATTTTAATTGGCTATGCCCCCACGTTGGGCGCCAAATTGTAACCTCAATATTTTTCTCAAACAATAATTTAGTTTCAAAATTCAAACAAACAAATTTAGCAAAAATTAATAAAAATTTAAGGTTACTTAGGAACGATTAAATGTGATGCAAAAGGGTGGGCGCCAGTCCTAAAAGGACACTCAACAAAATTCACAAAAGGGACAAAACAGATTTCTAAATAATTCCGAATAAACAAAGGCCACCAGGCTAATTACCGGCAATTATTTAAATTGAATTTATTTATTATCGGCACACGAGGCCACCAGGCTAAGTGTCGATCAATAAATACAAAAAAAATAAACATAAACAATATTCTCAAGATAATTTGATTGGCGATACACGACGGCTACCAAGCTAAGAATCGATAATCCCACACTAATCTCACAATAATAATTTAAATCACGAATTTAATCTTCCTAAAATGTGTCCGGGCTAACTACAGTCCCATTACTTGGAAAATAGTAGAGGGGGTGGCTCGATGTCAAGATTCAATTATTCATTCAAGAAAGAAAAGACAAATTAAATGAATTTCCATAATGACAATTTATTAATCAAAATATCAATTGAATTTAACATAATAATTTTAACAACGATTCTAAACAAGAAGAAAAATTAGAAAGAAAAAGATTCTTTTCCTTTCATGATTCGAGTTCTGAATAGCAAAAAAAATTAAATTTGAAAAAGTGAGGTTATGATTAATTGATAATAAAATATTCAAACATTGATATCCATTTTTCCTCTGTAGGAAATCAAACGAAGAATTCTAAAGAATACCGTTAAAAATCATCAAGAAATCTTACTTTGAAAAATTGTTGACAACAAATTCCCACGAAACGCCAAACGACTCCCTCCTCGGAAATATATCCCTCGAGAAATGAAACCAAGATCTCCGAATGAATGGCCCAACAAAATTGATTAATTTTTAGGGTTTCGTACACCATAGGTGTACTGACGGAACCCTTATGAAATCACTCGTGTGTCCGTCCCAGCTACGCAAAATGGGCTGTCCCCCCCCCTTAACTTTTACAAATCTCAACCTAGTGAGCTGAAATTCGGTAGGGATCTTCAGTTTTAAGTGCAGATTACAGGAAAAATATAGCGAACCTGATTGGTGGAGATATTTGGGAACTAGAAGGGAAAGAAATTGAATTTTTTTGAAAAAATTGCAAAAAATGACCCTGTCCCCCCCCTTAACTTCTACAAATCTCAACCTGGTGAGTTGAAATTCGGTAGGGATCTTCATTTTTAAGTGTAGATTACAGGAAAAATATAGAGAAACCGATTGACAAACATATTTGCAAAATAGGAGGGAAAGAAATTCAATTTTTTCGAAAAAAATGCTAAAAATGACCCTGTCCCCCCCCCCTTAACTTTTACAAATCTCAACCTTATGAGCTAAAATTCGGTAGGGATCTTAAGTTTCAAGTGTAGATTACAGGAAAAATATAGCGAACCCGATTGACGGACATATTTGCGAACTAGGAGGGAAAGAAATTCAATTTTTTCGAAAAAAATGCTAAAAATGACCCTGTCCCCCCCTTAACTTTTACAAATCTTAACCTAGTGAGCTGAAATTCGGTAGAGATCTTCAGTTTCAAATGCAGATTACATGAAAAATATAGCGAACCCGATTGACGGACATATTTGCGAACTAGGAGGGAAAGAAATTCAATTTTTTTGAAAAAATTACAAAAAATGACATTTTTCTCTCCCCCTTTTGAACTTTTAGGAATCTTAATTTGATGAGCTGAAATTCGGTAGGGATCTTTATTTTTAAGTGAAGATTAAGGTAAAAAAAATATAGCGAACATGATTGTTTGAGATATTTGCGAAATTTAAGGGCAAGAATTTGAATTTTTTGAAAAAACTACAGTGTCACTAATTTAACTTTTATAAATTTCAATGTGGTGAGTTAAAATTCAGTTTGTATATTTTTTTTAAGTGCAAATTACAGAAAAATAAAGATAATGTGATTGGCGAAGATAAAAATAAAATAAAAATAAAATAATATAAAAAGAAAATAAAAAAATAATATAAAATAAAATAATAAAAATATTTATTCCAAATTTAAAAAAATATATTAGCATTTTTTTAATTATTTTTTTTATATTTTTAAGAATTGTTGAAATAATTAAAAATAACAAAATTTATTTGAATATGAGCTATAGATAAAAAAATGAAGATAGATAAAAAAATATTATTATTATTATTATTATAATTAATAATATAAGTATCTTTTGTTAGTTTATATCCAATATATTATTTTAAATATTATCTCTAATCAGGTAAAATATATATTTTTTGTTATTTGTAAATAAAACATAAGAATTCAATGTGGATTATAGTTATAGTTTTTTTTAATCTATATGTAATAAAAATACATATGTGTACCGAATTTCAGCTCAATAAGTTTATATATGTTAATATTAATCAATTATATTTCTTATATATATTTTTTTTATAAAAAATGAGTTTTATTTTGGTGTACGGAACCCTCGATCTTAATGCGAGTGCAACTCGCACTTGCCCGATTTTTATTTTATTATTATTAAAATTTAAAAAATTAAATTTAAGCAAAGATAAAACTTTTTCGAGACAAAGCGTCCTTCTATCAAGAAACCCAGAAAAAGAATGACAAAATTACTATTGTTTATTATCCCCATGGAGATTTGTTGCCAACCAAAAAAAAATGAAAGTTACTATAGTATGCAATAATTCGCGATCATAATACAGTCTTCTGATTGGTGGATATTTCAAAAAGGAATCTTCCGATGAATCTTGATGGTGATTGAAAGTAGAACGAAATTTGAAAAGTAGAAACTTGATTATAGACAGAATAAATAGCTTGAAATGTTATTTGGAATATTTCTTCTAAAATGATGAATTTCTTCAAAAGAATTTGACGCTCGATGTTAGATCATTATTTTTCTCCTCCAATAGAATTATTTGTTGAACGAGAGATTAATGTTGAAATTCAAAAAGACTAATAACCACTTATGCATAAGAAGCTGGACTATGACGATCTTTCAGTCCCAAACTGACATAAAATCTTGAACAGAAACAGGTAATATGGGCCTTGTCTTCACGTAGCAATAGGAGTTTCAAATAAAGTTTGAAATATAATGAAACCTTCCAAAAGTAGAATGTTCTTGAATATTCCTCCAGGGAATTAAGTCAGTGTTATTTTCTAGATACTTGAAGTAGAGCTTGAGAATAATTGGCATTCCAAGAAAAATCCAAACAATTGGGTACGTCAGAGATATAAATTGAGATTCCAAAATTTAGGTTAGGTCAAATTATCCAAAAATTACTGTCCAATCACCAGAATAAGTCTTCACCATTTTCAATTTTCATAAAGTTGGCTCGCAAATTACATAAAACGAATAAAAAGGAATAAACAAATTAATTCTAAATTATTTAATAAAATAAATATTTTCAGAATCTCGAATCGTTTTGGGAATTTTTGATTTAAGGAAGCTTTTATCATAAAGGTTATTCAACGAATTCAATAATAATTAAAAATACTTGTGAATTGTAAAATATCAAATTTTACAACGTCACAAATTCATTGCAAAATTCAATTATTTTCATAAATAACAATATTAATCACAAGAATTCAATTATTTTCAAATTTAATAAAATTCTTCTCTCATATTCAATTATTTTCAAAAAAATTTGTCGTCAAAATTTCAATTATCTTTATCAATAAACAGAAAAAATCCTCGACAAAATTAAATTATTATCATAAATAATAGTATTCATCACAAGAATTCAATTATTTTTAAAAGTACCTAATAAAATTCAATGATTTTCAAAAATTTTCCCAAAAGAATACAATTATTAAACCAAAATTTTGATAAAATTCTACACGAACATTAAATTATTTTAATAAAATTTCCCCAAAGAATTCAATTCTTTAAAAACTATTTTGACGAAATTTACTATACGAATATTCAATTATTTTCTAAAATAATGAAAATTTCACAAGAAATTCAATTACATATTAAAAATAGAATTTGTATTTTTTTTATAAAGTCAGGGAAAATCAAAATTAAATTTTTGGTGACAACACTGTTAATTAAAATTCAAATATAAGCTATAGTAAAATATTTATATATTTTATATTTCTAATAAAATAAAATTCATTTGTAAATAAAATAATTGTAACGAGAAGTATTTACCGAACGTATTCAGAAACATTGTGCGACACACTTTAATTTTTCCTAAAGGTAAATTTAAAAAGTAGTTTCTTGATATTGTTTTCCTTTCAACATTATTATCTGATCGCTCTATAGGTTCTGTACTTTCCACCATTTTGTCCAGAAAATCCCATTGTCTGGTATGGTCGCCTAATTTCCAGTATTCACGAAATAAATTTAAACGATCTTCAGCATTTATTTTGGTTTGACAATTAAAGCGGCACTTATTGCAAGTGGGACCAATCTTTCTTGCTTCTACAACTATTTCTTGAGATTTATCCTCTATACCTAAGTTTTGTGCTTTTTTGCAGATTCTCGTTTCCAACTTTCAGAATTTACTTTACGCTTCCTTGTTCTTTTT